TTTAGGTTGCACCTCACCTTTTCACATACATACTTTAATCTCGAAATGTTCTCTATTTTTGGATTTAGTTGTTTAGTCAACTATTAGGGGGCAGCCATAATGAAATGATATTCTTTACTTGAGATTAACAATTTGTGGCCTAATGGTTAGAGTCAGACTTGTACCCCAAAGGTCGCATGGTTCACAGTCTACTCACTGTTCCTAATGTGTGCATGTACTAACTTGGATGGGTTAAATGCAGAGGACAAATTAAGATTTCACATACTTGGTCTTCACATCATATAAAATGTTGTCTAAGCTAGCTGTAATCTATTCTATAGACAAAGGCTGACACAGGATGGACTTTGGGTAAACTCAAATATAACACTTTTTTTTTTTACACTAATAATAAAACAAATCTGGTAGGATCTCGGGGCATACTGCACCCGTTGTCTTTATTGTTTGAGTGTTCTTTACAAATACCGCTCACTTAAACCAAAGGATGCTTTGTATTACTAACAACAATTGTGTTTAAAAACAGATTTGCATGCATACTATGCCTGAAATAACTATAATAATTATAATCTCATCATAAACCCAAACAAACTGCAATTCATAATAATTGTATTATACTGAAACAAGCAGCATAACACAATGAAAGACTGATTAAGAGAGACTGTTAGATAGGAGATACTCATATGAACCTCAGGCTGTTACTGATCCCACAGACTGGAAACAATAAAGCACCAAGAACAGGCACCATGTGGCATTTAATCCTCAACTTAATCAGAAAAATATATCAGATGTCTGATGCAGGGATCAAAGAGGAATACAATTTGTTGAAGGAAAACATCGGAAGTGATTTGTTCTGTTTCTCTCTGAAAAATCTTGGAACTCAATTTCAGTCAGTTTACTTGGGATGTGTTGGTACTGGCACACAACATGCTAAACACATAGAATGGGTTTAGCATACAATAAAACAATAAAAAAGAACCATGTCCAGATTTAAAGGCTTTTGTTGCAAACATGTCTCCCAACAGAGCATCTAAAGAATTTTGCATTTAGAACAAAACTGCAACTGGCTTTTAATACAGACTATATAGAAACTTCACAAGTTTAAACCTGCACATTCATGAATTAGGCTAAACATCACAGTGAGTCCTCCAAGCTAATTATTCCTTGGCTTGAAAACAAGAACGTTCTTTTCTTCCGCATGCATCAAATTACACAAAATGATGATCAAGCTGAACATTTAGGTATTTGAAATCAGGAAATGCTTCATTTCCAGGTAAACTGAGTCACAAGCAGGGGTGCAGAAAAAAAAAAATCATCTCTCAAACACAAGGAAATACACTGTCAACAAAATTATGCACAGTAGAGGACTGGACAGCTCCTCTGGTCAAACTTGTTTTACTAATAGGCAAGTCAGCTATGACTCAATTTTCCCAAAAATAGCCAGGCCGTGTGTGGTGATGAATGTGAGGATGAGCCAGATCTGTCACCGGAGAGCACAGAGATCATTCAGCACGATGACAGAAAGCCAGCCAGGGTGCTGACATCATCAGTGGCCCTGGAAGATCAACAGGGCTTTCCTTCAACATTTAATCACCCTATTAAGCTAAAGCAAAAAGCAAATGCTGGATCTTATGGCGCTTTTCCAATACAACACTCACTATATGCTCGCCTTTGTTTGCTTTTCCACTGTGTAAAAGTTGTACCTTAAAGGCAAGCTGAGGCGATACTAAAATGTGACGTGAAAACAGTGCCGCCTGCTGATTGGTCAGAGTGAATCGTCAGTTCGTCACTATTCACTGCGGCGTCATTGCGCATGTCAGACGGAGTATCGAGCTCCAGCATAACCCGCCCTTTTTAAATAGTTTGGCCAGAGATAGATAGAGGATCCAACGAGAGCTTGACGGGGCAACGAGGAACGAATGGCGTCGCTATGAAGACCGGGTACTAGTGGCGGTACTGTCAGCAATGGAGAACAGAACGAAAAGTGAGCCGAGTCGAGTCAAGCTGGTAATGGAAAATGCCATAACAGTAGTAGTGCCCTCCATCTGTCTTTCTCTGCGATTATGATCACAGCAGCATTTTGGAGAGGAATAAAAAAAATAAAAAGACCTCAGCCAAATGTTGTAAAGGGGTGAATGAACACCTCCACATTTCTATGCTGCTGCTATAGCAGCACAGACAGTGAGTGGGAAGAGGCCAACCACAAAAGTGGATTGTTTTACCCTTTGAGACATGTATTTTTGCCCGAAGTCTTATTTAACTCCAACTGATGGGTCCAGGGCTGTTGTGATTAATCGTAATTAATTTGAAAATAAGATAATCGAGGTAAAACGATTATTGTGCCACTGCCACAATAGTCCTTTAATTCACAACAGTGTGCTCTTATTCCTCCCTAAAAGCCCAAACTTAACATCTAATTCAGCCAAATTAGTGAGTTGTAAAATGCCTACTGTTCCTAAACTGCGGGACATGTTTGATATTAAGCACTGTTATTAGCGCATTAAGCCGGAAAAGAGAAACCATTCACGAGAAGGGCTTTCTGTGCCCAGAGCCAAACGTCCATATAAGCAAATGGACTTCAGGTATTCAGGTACACACAAAAATGTCAAAATGCCTTTTTGGAGAGTATTCATGTAAACACAGTGGGTTAGGTCTTAAGTAAACAGACACATTAAATATGCGTACCACTATATTGGATCCGTGCATTAGCTCTTAAAGTGACAGATGCCTAATACAGTCTACCTGCAACAGCCTGTCATTAATGATAAACAACAAATGACAAATTGAAAATTATGACTTAACAAGGACTTTAACACTATTTAATTTGTATTTTTGTTCTGTTATATTTGTTTGTCCATTTTGTTTGTAATTAGTTTTTTTGTTCTTATTGTATTACTGGCTTTTGTTTACTTGTCTTATGTAATTATTTCAAAGGGTTAGTTCACCCAAAAATGAAAATTATGGCATTAATGACTCACCCTCATGTCGTTCCAAGACAATACAATCTTTAATAGTCATAGTTTTTGTTATTTCTGGACCAAAATGTATTTTTGATGCTTCATAACATTCCAACTAACCCGCTGGTGTCACATGGACTACTTTGACGATGACTTTATCCTTTCTGGACAAGGACAATACTATACCGTACATACATTTTCAATGGAGGGACAGAAAACTCTCGGACTAAATCTAAAATATCTTAAACTGTGTTCTAAAGATGAACGGGGGTCTTACAGGCTTGGAACCACATGAGGATGAGTCATTAATGACATTTTTATTTTTGGGTGAACTAACCCTTTAAGGGCCTTTGTCTTATATCAGTTATCTTATTAGTTTTGCTGAAGTAGTTATTGTGAAATTTCACTGATATTTAAAATTACTCATATCGTGAAATAAGACTTTGATCACCCACCAATAATCGTGTTAAATAATCATGATTTCAATCTTTTTTGCCATAATCGAGCAGCCCAGTCTAAATACAAATAAAATACAAAATACAATCATTTTGATAAGAGAGGTCATCACAGTTCTACTGATAAGACACAAAAGATTATGGAATCATGAACGTATATTTTATCATGATGTGAAGTTGTGGAAATCTGTAGGGTCAGGTAACAACAAATTTAAATTTAAACAATTTATGTTAATGAATTTTTTAATTAAATTAAAGTGACATTAATGAGATAAGACCCTGTGTTTTTGAATTATTACACACAAAAAATGCGCATAAAAAGGCCCTTAATAAAAATAAATGTCTGACAAATATATTTTTCTCAATTTGATATATATATAGGACTGTCAATTATTTTATATATAAAAATAATATAAAATATATTTTTCTCTTAAATATACATGCATGTGTGCGTGTATTTATATATATACAAAATAATTATACACAGTGCACCCACATATATTATGTAAACACAAACTTTTATACTTTTATTTTGGATGCGATTAATCGTTTGACAGCCCTACTATATATATGAAGAGTTCAGATGCAAAAGCCTCTAAATGCCATTTGAAATTTTCTTCTAAAATGACCATTTTTATCAAGCTTGTATATTTAAGTTCAGTAATTTCACTTAAATGACAATTAACAGGTAATCTTCATTGCCATTTAAGTGAAATTACTGAACTTAAATATACAAGCTTGATAAAAATGATCATTTTAGAAGAAAATTTCAAATGGCACTTAGAGGCTTTTGCATCTGAACTCTTCATATATATATATATATATATATATATATATATATATATATATATATATGAAAATGGGAGAAAGCAGCAAAGGGATGAAAAAGTGGAAAGGACCTCAAGACTCGAACTTGGGTTGCCCAAAGCATGATCATATTTCAGAGCACTGACCACAAGGTTATGGCTCCAAGTCAACGAAATACAGGCCATCACAACAAACAGACGAATAAATAAACAAAAAAACATACTAACTGAGTGATATGACACACCCATTCCAAAATCAACAGATCAAAACAAGATCCACTGTTTTGCGTAACTAGGAGTGGAATTGCGTCAATCTAAATGAAATAAATACTCCTCCAAATGGAGGTGGAACGTCTTATGTCATTCTATGCCCTCTCATCCAAGCCATTCTGCCCAATACAGTCGCTGACATCAAAGGCCAGCTGGAACAGGAACCTGCCACCACCTGGTTCTTAATAAAACAGATGGCTTTCTAATTTCCATTGTGCTCATAAAATGAATGATTAACTCACTCCCAAATCACTGTGTACCCTGGAAGAACACCTGTAGAAAGCTTACCTGATTACTTCTAAATCCCTTAAACATAACTCACCAAGACAAACACTCCAATGAAGAATAACGTTACAGCACTGGTTTTATGAATAAGAGAGAGTGGACAGATGGTCTTTTAAATGGCTAAAGAATAATTCTGACCTGTGTTTTACTTATTGCAAAGCCCCGAAAAAACTACAACCACCTAAACATGTTCATAAGGTTAAACAGCAGATGTATAAATGTCTCAATCTTACCTTTAAAGCATACTTTTCCCCACTCCTCTTGTGAAAGATCTCCAGAACCCTGCCATTGATGCCTAGTCCCAGGACCTGACTTGTGACCTTGTAGTCGTCGATTATGGCATTTTTCTTGATCTGAAGTGAGGCTTTACCCAACATGAATTGGGCAGGATTCTGTTGTTGCTGCTGTTGCTGGTTTGGAAACTTCGGCGGACTGTTGGCGTTAGTCAACATTTCCCACCTCTTTTCTTCCTTTACTTAAACAACTAACGTTAGCTACTTCTCCCGAACTTCAGTCCTTTTTTGGCAACACCCAAGGCGAAGATTTGCCTCAGAGAGCTCGACTCCAGGAACATACACTATGTTTAAAAGCAATAAAACTGTGACACAAACCCCCTCTCGAGCAGTTATTTCGGTTTCTTGGTGACTAACGTTAGCTAAGCTAGCTAATATCCATGTCGAGGGTCAACCCACCAATTCAGGGCTTAAAGAGTTAAGAGGCGACTTACATAAACTCACTTCAAGGTTAAAAGACTTAAAAATGTCACAGTCCACTTTAAAGAGTCGCCGAATGAATTAAAAACACAAATGTAGAGTTAAAAAGTCGGCAATAACATGCGCTCTAACACTAGTCCTCTGCGACAAGCGCACTGGCCTTTCGCGACTTTCGGCCAGCGTCTTGCTGCTCTGACGTCATGGCGGAGTTCGGAATGCCTGCGTTCTTAAAGGAGCCACCGCCGTCTGAAAATGCAGGTACACTGAGAGTGCAATCGCAATTGAAATAGGGCTAAATGTTTAAATATGAAATTATGAATATATGTGATATTGTGAATATTAAATATTAAACTTTATACTATAAATATATGCTCTGTCATGCACTGATGCAAAACAATTGGGGCATTGCCCGTTTGCCTTTGTTGACAGCATTCGAATAAAGTTAATAAATAAATGTTAAACGATTATGTAAGGACATAAAATAATATAGCCTACAAGAAGATATTTTATCCATCCCATCCCATCGCCTTTAAATACATTCACTGGTCGTTTTCCCCAGTTTTTTTTTTAAATAATATTTGTATATTACTATTATTATTATTAGGCCTGTTAGTAGTATTATTATGTGTTATACCATTGTTATGTAAGTCCTTTATGTTCCCCTTCATTTCATGTATCGCTTTACCTAGTTAACGTTCTGTATATTGTTTTACTTGTCCAAACATGCCAATAAAGTTTTGACTTAAAGACTGTATTTCTATGGATTATAGGATACAACAATAGGCATATGTGACGATAAACGAGTGGCTGTTTTCAATTACAAATGTAGCCTATAGGTAAGCAGAATTCGAATGAAGGTCGAATAATTTGTTATTATTCATAGGCCTAATGGGCTATGTGTTAAAATAATACGTAAAAATTACTTCTTATTTTTATTTAATATTTGTATATATATTTCTTTTATTTCCCACTTGATCTATTTATCGCTTGTGGAATTGGTTATTATTTTTAATTTCGCCAAATATCAATAGGTGTCGCTGTTGGGTAAAATGAAAAGAAAGGGTGAAGTGACTAGGTATAGCCGCAAGAGGGCGGAGTCTGCAAGCGTTTCAGAGGCAAATCAACATAATTCATTTAAAATAAACATTTCTCATAACACACATCTAATAATATAAATAATTTTCCCATTACTTTCCAAAAAGATTAGCACTATTATGTAGGCTAAACCAGATAACCAGAAAAGACGTAAGAGGGCGCTTTATATTAATTCACCCTTTGAAATTATTTCAACACTCTTGTTTTTGTATTATGAAATAGGCACAGAACAGATTTATAAATTGTATTTTGCAAAAGGATCTGAATCATTAACAAATAGCTTTAATAATCAGCTGGTGTTGTTGAGAAATGTATTCAATCCTCCGTATTTCATTTCTGGCTATGCATTTGTGTAATGTGTTCTTTTAGCAAACAAAACAACTCAGACAATTGTAAAATAATAATAATAATAATAATAAATATTCTTTTTTTATTCAAATGCTTTTGGGGCATGTTTTATTATTCACATGTCTGTTGTTGACATGAATAAACCGTTTCTCTTGAGTATGATGAAAAGTCAAACTGCAAAGAGAAAAAAATGATCCACATATGCGTTAGCAGGTAGATATGTTGTTAAACGTGTTCAGGTCGAAATGAATTCCTGTGTTCAGGTCGAGATGGGTGTTATTGTGGGAAATATTTAAACAAACTTGGTTCATTGAGCACAGCTCTCCTTTTCACATGCTCAAGCCTTAACACTTTTAAGGGGCCCTGTGACTCTTATCATTGTGTCAGTAAGCAAAATTTCACACTTGCAGTCCCTTTTTCTAATAGAGGTGGGGATTTATTCTGATTTAAAGATATAAGCGGTTTTTGGTAATGGTGGATAAAATTTGTTTTGTTTTTATTTCTCCTTTCTAAATTCTACAGAGGAGTCCCTACAATGTTGCATTTGTTGATTTAGCAAATGCTTTTATTCAAATCCAACTTACAAAGGAAATAAATAAAAACAGATTTGTATTCTCGTCTGGTCCTTTCACATGTGCAGTTTGCAGTCCAGAGCATATACGAGCCAAGGCACATTTACAGAGTCTATTTACGGCAACCTGCTTCCAATCGCGCTTGCTTCCCAAAAGCTAAAAACAACCGAGCCCAGTGGAGAACTTTATATTGAGAGAAGGATTTGATTTCACACATAGTCTCTTGAAAACCAACTTGGCTTGTTTGTGTGGACAGACGTGTGTGAACCCTCTGCACCCAACCAATTCAACCAGTGTTTACCACATGTCATCCACCTCCTGCTAATGGCAGGCACAATATGACCGACTGATACAGACAGATAAAGCTGCCATGTTACTGTGTTTTTCACCCCAGACATTTTAGCTTTGTTTGGAAACAAGAAAATGTTTCCAAAATGTCACCATTCAGATCTCAGGTAGTTAGCGTATCTTCTCCCTCTCGCCAACCCAGAAGTCAACTCAACATGTTCCAATTTATCCAGAGACTGTGTAATTTAGGCGCTGTAGCTTAAGAGACAGTGCTATATTAATATTAAGGCCAAACATATTAAGTAGGTAGACTCTTTTGAATGTTAGAAATGCTACTGTCATAAAACTGTATACCATTAGCCAGCAATAAAATGGATTTAAAAGAAATATAGCTCTTGGTCACTTAGAGTCTGCATGTGACAGTGTCATGCACCATCTCACGGAAAATACAAAAGGGGAGTTTGCCATATTTATTTTATTCATACATTTTTTTAAGTCCAGAACCATAGTGAATATTTATTTATCATGTGACAAATTAAAATCTTTTATTATGCTGCATTTAATATACAGTAAGTGAGGTGAGAATCATACTATTAAAAGCATCAATAACTGAAAAAATACAACCCAAGAGTAAACACACTAATATGGAACTTCTACAGAGCTCCCTTCCATAAAATTACTGGGTTAGGTTCTGACAGGTCACATGATTCTGTGGAATTTCCCCTCAGAAAGCCACATTCTCTTAAGGAACATAGAATAAAAGCATTATTGAGAAGTGAAGCGCTTGTACTCATGTTCGTCATGGCCTTAGGCCAGATCAAGATATTATTGATAAGAAAGGGATCAGGAAGAAGGGTCAGAAGAAAGGATATCATCACCAAAATCAATATATAAAATAATAATACAATAACAAATGAGCTCAGTCATTTTGCAACTGCCTGAACAGCAGTTTTGTTTTTTCTTTTTGTTTTCATGTCAATGCATTCTGATAATCCTTTGAAATAATTCTAGATACATTTATATCATTCTTTATTTAATTTAGATATCAACCAGTTTTCAGCTTAAATAAAAGCAAAGTGCATTATGTCTACTAATAGGCATGTTTCACTGTAAAAAAAATATTGTTGGTTTAACTTTAAAAAGTAAGTAACCTGGTTGCCTTAAAATTTTAAGTTCATTGAAATGGAAAAAGTGAGTTAATACAATGAAGGAGAATGATTTATTCATCAGAAACTCAAAATTATATGTTATCTGAACTAAATAAATTATTTAAGTTGATATGACAAAAGAAAAAATGTGATTACTAATCATGAAAATATTTGTTTTACTGTGAAAGAAAAGGTCTATGTACTATTTTGGTTAAGAAAAGAATTTTTCGCTATTTCAACAAAGCAATTCATACAGAAAATATTTAAAAATATCTCTTTTTGAGATGCACACAGTTTGTATTTTGATTGATTTCAGTTACAGAACAAATTTAATTGTACTTCATGTACTGAAACGGTCACTTCTGGAACCCCATTTCTACCTAAAAAAAGATCATTCGGATCTAAAGTTTAAAATAAGTAATATCACATTATGAGGGATGCCAGATTAAAAGAGATATGAAGTCTATAAAAATTAAAATAAAATAAAGTTTTATTCAGAAAGAGACCATCGTTTTTCACACAGACAACCAAAAACAGTTTATTGATCTCATAAGTTTTTCATCCATCCATCCGTTCTTAAAAACTGCTTATCCTCTGTGGATACAGGTTTATTCAAACCTATTCCTATCTGAAGACTAAACTGAATGCTAAACAATCAGATCCTTTGTTTAAAACAGTCCCACAATGATTTTATTGGTGCACAATTAAGGGTGCTTACAAAATGCCAGGCGAGGTTAGTAGGGCACCACAGGGTCTTTGTGGCCGGCCGCAGTGCTTGCACGTTTGAGTCACATGAAAATGCCTGTCGTCTCCCCCTTGTGTCATTTCCATAAACAACAAAGGGCCTGATGGTAGAAATTTGTTAGCCTACTTCTGGGTGCCAGGTTTCCTTGTGTCTCACTCAGCTGCAAAAACTGCCCCACTTTACACTTCACTTCTCAGTTACCAGAGCAAAGTGATGACACACCTAAATGCTCCAGTTGTCATGTACAACTGATTTGGGATTGTTTTTTTCCAAAAGGCCTCAAATACACTTTCAAGCAAGTCTACATCTTTGTATTTCCAGACCCAGTAACCCACTACTCTTTGGGAACCAGCCAGGTTGGCAGAGGCAACAAAATAGCAAACAGATTTAAACTTGTCGTCTCTTCAGTGGAACCATTAACAATGACCTACATATATTGAGTCCTACCTACCTATATACATTTTCCTCAAATTTATTTCTATAGTGCTGTTCACAACAAATATTGTTTCCAAATGTTGCATAAATCTAAATGGAACTGTAAAAAAGTATAAAAATATATTCATTAATATATTAGTATTATACTATATTATTATGTTCTTATATTATTACCTTCGGATGAGATGATAAACCGAGTTCCTGACTCTCTGTGTTCATTAAAAATCCCAGGAATATCCTTCGGAAAAAGAGTTGGGGTGTAACTCTGGCGCCAATGTCCATCATGGCTTCCTTATCACCCCCAGATACTCATTGGCTTCATCACTGTCTCCTCTCCACCAATAAGATGGTGTGTGGTGGGCGTTCTGGCACAATATGGCTGCCGTCGCATCATCCAGGTCCGGGTGGATGCTGCACATTGGTGGCGGTTGTGGAGATTCCTCCTTCAATGTAAAGCGCTTTGAATACCCAGAAAAGCGCTATATAACGAATTATTATTATTAATTATTATTTGTGGTTTTCCTTTCAGACACATAATTTATGGGAGGGGAGTATTTCAATGAA